GCCCCCCCCCCCCCCCCCCCATTTTCTTTTCAGAAAAGGGCAGGCATCACAAGGATATCAACAAAACATGACATATAAGTTGCAGTAAGGCTACTCCCCTCATGTTGAGGCTGGACAAGGCAACCCAACATGAGGAATAGAGTTCCAAAAGCTGGTAAAAGAGTCAGAGACAGTCCCTGGTCCCACTGTTAGAGTCCCACAAGAAGACCAAACTGCCAAATATAACGTATATTCAGAATGCCTAGGTTAGTCCCATCCAGGCTTCTTGTTTGTTGGTTCCCAGCCTCAGAAAGACAAACATGTTATATATACATTCACTAGTAGTGAATATTAGCTGTAAAGGATAAACATGCTACAATCCACAGACCTAGAGAAGCTAAGTAACAAGGAGAGATCAAGAGGGGACACTTATGATCTCCCTGGGAAGGGAAAATAGAATAGATTTCACAGGCAGACTGGGAACGGATGGGGATGAGAACAGGAGGGATCAGGTAGAATGGGGTATGGAGGAGTAGAGTACTGGAAGAAATGACTGGAAAGGGGGTCATTTGGGGATGATGTAGAAACATAATGCAACGGAAACTCCTAAGAATCTACAAGGGTGACCCTAGCTAGGACTCCTAGAAATAGAGGATACGTAGCCTGAATTAACCAGGTAAGACTTCTAAAGGAGGGTCTAGGATACCAAGCCACATAACCTTAGATCTACAATTTACTTGACTTACAAGTTGTGCTGGGGTAAAGGAGGCACAGAAATTGTGGGAAAGCACAACCTATGACTGCTCCAGTCTGTGCCCCATCCACAAGAGAAAGCCCACTCCTGACACTACCTGGAGTTCCAGGACCCAGAGGCTCGATTGCCCAGAGACCTAGGATAGAACCAGACACAACTGGGAAAAATGTCCATGTAATGGCACCTAATGATATCTGCTATATTCATAAATTGGTGTCTAGTCCAATTATCATCAGCTAGGCTTCATTCAGCAACTGATGCAGATACCCATAGCCAAACATTAAGAGGTGGAAGAAGGGGGAAGAGGATTGTAAGAGCCAGAGGAGTCAAGAAAACCAATAGACTCAACTAACCAGGGCTCATAGGGGCTCACAGGGACTCAACCAAGTATTCACTTTTTCACACAGACTTTGCACATTTGATGAATGACCTGGAACTTGCTAAGTAGGCTATACTGGCTAGTCTGTGAGCCCTGAGGGAACCCGCTGTGTCTACCTCTCCATTTCTGGGTTCACAAGCACACGCCTGCCATCATGCCTACATTTTACAAGTGTTCTGACTGTGGAATTCAGTTCCTCTTGCTAGTGCAGCAAGCACATTCTCAATCCAGCTTTCACCCCATTCAGATGCTCTATACCTTTATGCACGTGTAGGCTGTGGAAGATTAGCAAATACTGCCATGGAGACATACATTGCAGAGAGTTTATCTTCTGCAGGAGTCACTCAAAGCAGGGCTCTTGGAATGGTGTTAGTTTACAAGTTGCTTGTTACTGTCCCTTAGTTTTGAGCATAGAATTAGAAAGTAAACAATAATGCTAATTTCTCAGGTGTTTGGGTGCAACTATTAAATTCACTACACTTGACTCTAATAAATTTAAAAACTGGTGGTTCAAATGTCTGTGACAGTTGAGTTTTATTTCCTTTGTGATTTGAATTCTTGTATTTACAAATGTATTGGTTCAGAACCTTATGTGAATAAATATAGCCAAAATAATATAAAAATGCAACACATCTGTGCCTATAGAATGAGCAGCAAATATATTACTTCATATATTTCTGATATATCAAGAAAAGGAAGAAAAGAAAAATCACAGAGTGGAACTAGA